TTTTTGTTTTTTTTTTCTAGAAAGCGAATTTTGCAAATTAAGCGAATTACGCGAAATTATGCATGTCGATTACATGAAATCGCGTTCATGATGGTTGCCATTAGAGCAGCGCATAAGGACTTTGATGGAAATTAGCGCCAGCGGTTCCACTTTTTTATGCTCTTTGTAAAATTAACACACTCAAAAGAAATTAAAACAGAAGGAAAATAGAAAAATTAAACAAAAATCCACTGAAATAAAACAAAAATCTGCAATTCATGCTAATGAGATTTTGGCTTTCATGTTGCACTCTAATGCGGATAATTTGGGCATATTTTTCAAAAGCCATCGGCAGTCAGGCGTGAATCATTTTAGCAACTGCAACTGCAACTGCACTCCTTTCAGTTTTAAATCGAGCGTTCATAATCAACTCGAAGGTAACCAAAACCCATTTGTCGCAGGTTGAATAGGATCCCAAAAAATGAAGTAGAATAGTGAGCAATTTTGTTATATTTTAATATTATATTAAATTAAATATTCAACTATAATAATAATTAATAAATTATTAACAAAATATTGATTAACATAATTAACAAAATATTAATTAACGCAATTGACAAACTACAGTCAAACCTCCATAACTCGAAGTCCAACTTCGATGAAGAGGTTCAACTTATGAAGACTTCGAGTTAGAGAATTTTTTTTTTTTTTATTTTTGAAAGAAACTAGAATTACATTTTTAGATATTTATTTATTTGAAATCAAATAAAGCACAGAAATTATGATGAAGTAATATATTCAGAATTTAGGGTTTAGGAGTTTAATTTTTTTTCTTTTTTTCAGTTAAAAGAGATTCCACTTTATTCATACGCTTATAGTGATCATCAGTTGTAGTATCATTCGTTGCAAATATAAATTCAGGATATTGAATGAGTCTTCTACTTCATTTTTGGAAGGCTGATGAACAGTTACATCCACGGAACCCTTATCATCACTTTCCGTTACACTTAGAATTGGATACATAAATTTAGAGCTATAGTGCTCAATAATATCGTCATCTGTAGGAAGGCTTGATGTACAAATTTCATTGTCAAGCTCAATATAATCGTTAAGAGTAGCATTGGAAGTTATTTTATTTACTTTAAACCACACTGCCGGCGACTGGAATTTGCACAAAGGAGCAACATAAGAAAGAAAAAAATTAAACATTTGGTTTGGAAAAAGGGACTTCCCCTAACAGCAAAATGCATTTATACTTAAAACAAAGATTCAACTTATAGAATGCACTTTCCCATACTCTTATCAGCACGGAACAATTTTTGTTCGAGTTATAGGGAAAGAGATTCGAGTTATGGAAGTTTGAGTTATGGAAGCAAAATCGTATGAAATTTGCTCTCTAAAACCTTGGTGCACTGTTTTTGGTTCAAGTTATAGAAAATTCGAGTTATAGGATTTCGAGTTATGGAAGTTTGACCGCATATTAAAAATTATCATTTTTAATACCTGTATCTCTGAAACCTTTTAAGATAGCATAAAATTAATTAAAACTTAAGGAAAATACTAAGAAAAGTTCTTGTTTCAAAACTACATACCTATAATCGATATATATTTAAATATTAAGAAGTAATAAAAAAATTACAGTATTAGCTATTGTAATGTGGAATATGTTTTAAAAGACTTTTTATTACTTGTTTTCTCATAATACAATAGACTTTAAAAAAAGTTTTAATAAAAAAACACTAAAATACAGACAAATAAACCAATTGTATTTACATATATAACTACACGAGTATAGATATATATACACAAGCCTTTTACTTTACTAAAAAAAATTTATAAAATATCTACGAACTCATTTGGCTCAATTCTCAGAACTGGTTTTTTAACAAAACATATTGTTGCTAAATACCCCGTGAAAAATATTAGAATTACTGACAACTGTAAAGTTTATGAAAAAGTGAATGATATATTCATCTAATAGATTCGTTATATTTACGAATCTCAGAATCTCAAAATGATTAAAATATTATAGTCTCGAAAAGTATTCGGAAATTTTAAAAAAGTTTTCTCTAAGAATAAACCGATGTCTTATCAATCGCATTATTCTCTCTAATAAAAAAAAATATTCGCATAGAAAAATTATATTAACTCAAATATTAGTTGTGTGTTTTGTAAGAAACGTTAAGAAGTATATTTGTGCAACAATACAAAATTATTAAAATAAAAGAGAAGTAATTTAAGCTCTCATTGAACTAAAAATGCTTCAAAATTGACATTTTTGAGTTACATTTTTATCGTTCTATAAATTTGATAATTCATAATTTAAGTTAAAACTTTTTCTTAACGGATTAATTATTCTTATTGGAGAGTATAGAACTTCTTATCGCCACTATGTTTCAAAGAGTTTTAATTATTGACAGTTACACGTATTGCCAGCCAGCAAAGTATCTCTTAGATACTCTTCTTTTGACAGTGTTAAAACTACAAGTTGCAAAAACATATTACAAGAACTATACTCCCAATGGCTAAATTTTATTTTAAACATTAGAATTAAAAAAGGTAGACTGTGCTCGTTACATTGTACTATAAGTAATCGATATTGTTATTGTAAAGAATAGGAGAATCGCATCAGCTCTGCTGTGCATCTCATGTACACGATACAACTAACCTCTCTAAGTTAAGAGAGTTAAAATTAATATACTCGCAGACAGCCAACCAGTTCTCAAAGCTCTAAAAAGCGACACATTCATATCTAAAGTTTTTACAGAGTGTAACAATACACTCAACTGGCAACCCAGAACCAGGTGTCTGTGGTTTGAGAACCCGGACATGAAAGACACGAAGGCAACGAAACTGGTGACCTTTATGTCAAAAAAAGGGCAGAAGGATCATTCATTGGTCCAACCTCCTTCTTGGCTTCAATAAAACGAACATAAAACAGGAGACAAAAAAATGGATCCAAAAAGTATCACTGAATACTGGAATGGAATAGACGGCCTATATCATTCTAAAAAATTCTTAAATTTTGATGCCAAAAGAGCAAACACCGCTCTCAACCTAAGCAAGAAGAATCTAAAGTCACTCACTGGTGCACTAACAGGCCACGCCGCATGTAATAAATACCTACATAAAATAGGTTTATCAGACACTAATATTTGCAGATTCTGCTGTGATGAGGAGGAGTCTATGGAACATCTGATCACCAACTGTGATGCACTAGACCACAGAAGAAGCAAAATTTTAGGTACATACCAACTAGGGGATGAAGACCTTCGAAAACTCCCTCCGAAGGTCATCCGAAACTCGTCTCTAAGTACATTGTAAATCCTTATTAAAAATCATATATGCATAGTTTGCAATAATATTGTTATTGGTCTTATAAGTAGCTATTTATTTGATATATAAATATAGCAATATCAGTATTATGCAAAAACATTACTCAGCGATATTTAATACCTATTTTTAATACCTAAAAGTAGGTATTAAAATATATTAAAAATAGTTATTACGATATTTAATACCTATCAATTGTTCCGTACCGATACCGGATAATGACGGATAAATACATTTCTACACAAATTTGTAATATTTATTATATTAATCTTAAGAAGTACTTAAAGTTATATTCCAGAAATATATGCTAAACTATGTTATTCAAATTGTGGATACTCCAAGACAATGGAAACTTAGAATATGGTCAAAAGTCTACTTCATTCCCAACTTATTGTATTTAGATTTACTTGTGTAGCTGGATGAGATGTTGCTAAACCTGTGCATAGATTTATAATAGATTTCAACATTTTTTGAGAATTTAAGAAGCATTTGAGGTTATAATTCAAATCATAAAATTTATTAAATTGTGGAGATTTCAAGCTTTTAAGCTTATATGTGACAAAGTAAAACACAAACTTAACCGATGTTCCAAAGTCTCATTCGCTCTCAGCAGCCTGCATGTGCCTCTAGTATACTGTTACCAGTCACCATAACTATGATAGTTCTGCAATCCTTCTGTTTAGATTTGATTGACGAGCTTAGTTTAGAATTAATTGACATTTCTTAAATTTAAAAAAAAACTATTCACTTATAAGTATAACATACTCTTTTACACAATGATATTACCAACTTTTTTCTAACTTTTTAACTATGGGCAATATATATTATTATTATTCAATAATCGAATATAATACAATATATTTTGATTGTATTCAATCAACCTTTTTTTCGAAAAATAAACTACCTTTGAAAATGGAGACTTTTGGAATAAAAAATATTTGCTGTCAAGTACAGAATTTTAATAAAAAATCAGCAAAGTTAATAACATTGCTGCGCCCACTCTATTTGAACACCAAAACCTAAAGTAACAAGTTCCATAAGTGCCACCTATGAACAAATTTTGGATTAAGTTTTTGTTGCCAAACGGAAGTAAACCCGAACTGAAGCACAACAAGTGCAGCACAGTATGAGGCGTTTCACAGGGCAAATACCCGCACAATGCCCGTGTGTTTGGAATTACACCCGAAATGGTTGGGAGTTGCGCGACTTTCGCACGTATTTTAATTACACGATACTCAGGCTCTAACGGCCAGATTAATATCGGATTCCTACATTCACTGCTTGGTGTCGCACTTGCCGCTGCACCGAGTGAAGTACTTGATAGCTTGCAACATATTTGTTTACACGAGCATTGTATGCGGAACAACGTGACTTGATCCCACTTCTAATGGCTTTTGCAGTTCTTCTCCTGCTTAGTCATCAGTATTATCCTGGACCACACAGCGAAATTTATACAATTTCTTGCATATTTTGTTTACATTCACATAGTTGAGTTCACAGCTCGTGTCGTGTTGAGTTATTTGCTTAGGTGTTGCCAATGCAACGTTCCCCGCAAGTTGGGTGAGATACTTTACTTCGTATATTTTCTTTATGTGTGAAAGACGTAATTAACGCAACTATGTGCCCAGATTTATATTTTGCAATAGGCAAAACATGGTTAGTGAAAAAATTTCTTCGCAAGGACTTGCCTTTTTAAAATTGTGCTCCCTCAATGCCGCAGCCGCGTCTTGCGTACGCTTGATTTCCGTAATGACGTGTCGTGCTCTTTTCAGCAATTCTTCCTCACCACTCCTTTCCAAAACTGCAAAATAGAAAGTAGAGAGTATATTTGAGTATGTTTTCGGTAAGTTGAAAGTATTAAATAGAAAATTAATTTTAATGAGCACATGTGACGTACGTTCGCAGTGCTTTCACCGTACTTTCATCCACTTTCTTCTGCAATAATTTCGCATTTTTAATTTGTTTTTAGTTTGCATGTTTGCAGTTAGTGGAAATAAGTTGCGAGGTGGTATGAGTGGTGTTACTTAGCGCTAATGTGCCATAATTGCTACTTTCAGTGGCATTAATGTGTTGATATGTGTAAGGTTGCATACAAATTGCAACTTCACACCTAATGATTTCCGGCTACGGTTTTTTCTTTCCTAATTATACGTTAATTATCGTAAAAGTTCTCAGACTAGAAAATCTTTAAAGAAATGTTTTCAAAGGCTTTTACAAATGTGCAATTGGCGTTTGTCTTGCTTGAAAAAAAGCAATGCAAAATATATAAAATGTTTAAAATTGGAACCTTCTCTGAAATATTGGATTTATTTAGAATTTTGTTCCTAATATACAACGTAGTAACTTAATGGAACTTTAATTCACTGCTTGAATATAAGCTATTTGCTTTCAGATTTTAAAGTAAAATAATAACCCATACAGGATAAACTATTGTTGACAAATATCAATTAATAGCTTGCGATACTGACTTATTCAGTAATAACTTGGTATTGTTGATTTCAATTTAGTTTCTTAAGAATCCAAATCGGATGCAAATCAACCCAATGAATGTGTGGCATGTGTTCAAGGATGAAATAACATCTATATTATTCTTCACTATATATTAATCGGTACAAATTATACTCAACATGCAAAAAATTGTTACTACACATATCAGAAACACACCAGTAAAATAGTATAGTAAAATAGTAATTTATAAACGTGTGTTAAAACCATTGGTAAAACTTTTTTAAAATTTTTTTGTTAGTTTTTATAGCAATTTGAAAAATAATTGCTTTTATAAAATTTAAAAAATAAACAACTACAATGAAATTTCTCATAGCAGACAGTTCTTTTAACCGCACAGCTTCAATAGACGGACAAATTTCTTGAACTTAGCTTTTTCATTAATTTTTTCATACAAGTATAATTCCCATAACCGGACGCTCTAATAACAGGACGCGGACACTTCATTTTAAACCATTTCAATCAAAGAATCTCTCATAAACGGACAAAATTCAAAAAAAAAACCAAATAATTTTTTTAAAAATCTGTAATTTTCCATAATACAAATTATATTTATATTTGTGTAAAAAATGGTTAATTTTAGTAACCAATGATTAATTAAATATAATAATAAACAAATTTCTTCCAAACACAACGGCAGCAAACCAACGCCTTGATCAAGGGGTAATCCAAAATACTGAAATATTTTTTAGGATCTTTCTTTTAAAATACTTGCTACGTAAAATTGAGGTGAGCCTCACAGATGTTGAACTCTATTAATGTACTTGAAGTTGTTTATTTCTTCAAAGTATCTTTTCATTAAGTGAAAACAAGAACAATTCAAAATTGCTTCCGTGAAGCAAGGTTTTCAAAAATTTATGAAAATCTCAGCGATATTGATCACGAAGATGACATTCTGCTCGCAATCTATGCTAAATTTCAGGAAGGACTCGATTTGGCAAATGATTTCGACAGTTTTCTCAGAAAAATCTGCACTGAAGACAACAATGTTGAAATTTAATTTGAAAAACAATGCAATATTATGGAAATAAGTTCAAAAGGAGAATCTAATGAAGAAATAAGTGAACATCGTACGTAAAACTCCAACTTCGTTCAAAATATCATTTGTGCTCCCTCGCATAAGCGCACATCTCCCATAATCGGAAAAACATACTGCGACAATGAGTGTCCGGTTAAGTATATAATTAGTAAAATGCAAAATTATTTCTCTCATTTTTTCTTGTATTTATCATTTAAAATACAGAACTTTTTAATTTAAAATGGTGGCATCTATGATTTAAAGGGGGTCAGCACTTTTAGGAGCCAAGCTATTTATGATCAATAATGAATTTTTTTTACTGGTCATACTGAAATAGGTAGGTAGATAATATTTCAATTATTTTTATTTAATTTTACTAATGTTCATACATCAAAGCAATTTCATAACCTTAGTTCATATGAAATAAATATTCATGAACAAGACATAAAGTTTAATTCAAAAAATTTTATCTTAAATACTCAAAGCAAAGTCTAAAATAACGTTAAAATTTAATAAATTTCTTTGAAGAAATAATTTTATCTTTTTATTTTTCCTGATCTCTTACTATTTTCACGATTCTGATTTATTATAATTAAGTACTCGTATACTTACTCCGCATAATTTTATACACTATCTGAGCAGGAATAATGAAATACAATACAATACAACCACAGTACCAAATTGAAAATTCAATTACCACAAATAAAGCCTGAAGATAAAATCGCAATTATGACATCCATTATTTGATAAAACTGGAATGGAAAAGAATATCCGGAGCGATACAAGCGAATTATTGAAGCGATTATCTACTGAAACTCATAGCCGCAGTAAAAATGGAATAAGATGAAATTACTTATGTACGAGTAAATATGAAAAGTTAATGGAAAGACGTTTGCTAAATTCAATTCAACTTCTATTTTTTATCCGCATTAGCACAACAGTTGCAACAGCAAGCGAAATATCAACAACATCGAAATGAAAAAGCAACAATTGCCCAAATGGCAAACACATTTCAATTGCAGCAATAAGTGAAGCCAGTGCCGTTAAAAGGATACTCATCCTTAAACATTGAAAATTAAAAAAAGCGGAAAAGTGCAACTTAGTAAAAAAATCTGTGCAAAAATGGCAAATCAAATATAAGAGTTCCGTTTATGCCTTTTTGCTATTGCATCTACAAGCCTTGCAAGGACGCATTGCATTTTGTTGACAGGATGCCAAAGGATTTCTCATAAACCAAAAGAAATACATTTCACTACAATAACACAAGTAATTCGAATAATAGAAAAATCAAAGTTAAGTACAAAATATCGCAATCAAATAGTTTTTGTATAAAAAACTGTGTTGAATACGGATCAAGAATTGAGGAGTGCGAAGTTACGGCAGAAAAATGTAAAAAAATACGTAATTCACTTTAGCTTTACATTTTACAGGGTGTTAAGGGTGATATGATGAATAAATTTAAAAAAAATTATTTAATTGGGAAATTGATATTTACTTGAAATCCATCATATCTCGACAAAATACTATATAAACATTCAGAAGGAATAGGACTATGTATGACTTACAACCTGCCAAAACAATCTTATATCAAGAACCACAAAGATATAATTAATTATGAATTGACATTTTTGTATGTAGTTTCATATGTGTTAAATTATCACATTATGAACGAAATACAATATCACAGATAGCAGTGATTAAGAAAGTACGGTTAGTAGGGATATTTGCAGACTTATACATAATTGGTATAATATCACTTTAACGTTTAAACGGTGTAAAGCAAAAAAAAGAACACAGTACCCAAGTTGATTCTTCTTTATAAGCCAAAATACATTACTAATTAAAATAATTAATTAATTTAATTAAATTAACATTAATTAAATGTTAACGAATCATACTTTTGTAATAGAGTGAGGAAAAACTAGCTACTTGGTGATTCGGGTCTTTGAAAAAGATAGATTCTTTATGGTTTTTATATCATTGTCTTGGATTAATGTTCATGATGAGTATCTTTCAAATGATAAATGAGAAATTAATGTGTCCATTCAATTATTGTCGTTCTCGTCGTTCGTGAACGATTTGCTTAGTGACTATTATCCGATAATTTATTAGCCCATTAGCGCTTGTTATGAAACGTAAATTGCAAAACTTACAATGTTAAAAACACTGCTTGAATTCAACTTCATAGTTTATATAGCATTAAAATCCAATTGTTCTAAAACGAAATACACAGGCTTTTGTATACTCTTCTTAGGCAAACTTTTCCATATTATAAAATAGTTAATAAGAAAACTATTAGCATTTGGGTTTACTTTAATCTGAACATTATAAAATTAGCGATTTTGATTACTTCCAGTTCATACTGAACTATATTAAATATTCTGATAACAATTTTATTATAGAAAATTTAAATATCCAATAATCAACATGAAATTTTAACTGAGACTTCTTGAGAATGATATGAACTATGTACGATTTAAAAAAAATGAACTAAAAAAATGTCCGAATAAATTTACTTAAATAAATGAAGTTAGCTAGCACTCTATATCAACCGCAAGAGCAGACCTGATGTAACTACTTAACAAACCTCTTCATCTATAATACTTCTAATAGCAACTCGTACTGACACGCATTATTTACTCTCGTTTAGATGTGTCGCTTCTTTCACTAGATATCAGCACCTATTGTCCAACTTCCTTCAGGTTGACAAACTTTACCTAGATTTCTTTTAAGCCTCCTTATATTCTGGGTTCTACCCCGAAAGGTTAAACTTTATCCAGATTTCTTTGAAGCCTCCTTAAATTCTAGACCCTACCCCTAAACTTTACCCAAATTTCTTTTAAAACTTCTTGATTTCTAAGCCATATCCCGAAAGGACAGACTTTACACAAATTTCTTTTAAACCTCCTTGATTTCTAAACCCTACCCCAAAAGTACAAACTTTACCCAGATTTCGTTAAAGCCTCTTTAAGTTCTGAACCCTACCCAGAAAGGACAAACTTTACCCAGATTTCTTTTAAGCCTCCTTCAATTCTGGCACACTACCTCCAGAATCCCATTAAAACCAAAGTCATTGTAACTCAAAACATAGAGTACATGAGTATTTTAATTTGACCGCAATTTTTCTCTTAACCTATTTCCATAGCATTCCATTGCCATGCGCGTTCTCCTTCTTTTTAGTTTATGTGTATTTGTTTTACTAATTATTAATCCTCCTGGTCTTCTTAAGCTGTTCTCGATTTCTGGGACGAAATTTTATTTCATTGATACCTCACTAAACACGGTTTTGAAACTTTTACGTCATTCATTCCGTAGTAATAGTTTTAGTGGGTTCAATTTATGGCTTTAGTCGTTACCCACGTACTGCAAAAATAAAACACTACCTTCTGAAATAACACACTGAGGGGTCATAGCTTGTCATAAGTATTTAGGATGTGTGCGAGTTTGGCTAAATTGCGTTCTAAATGAGGGAAATTCTAAACTGCCGATAATGTAGTGATGTGTCGATACATATTGATAAATGGCTAAATGTGTGCAGTGCAAAAAATCTCTAAAAATCTCCCATTTGATTTAGCATTAACTTAGACTAACTCGCACACGTCCTTAATAACAAGCAAACTACAAAACCAATCATTATTGAACCTAAATTCTCCCTGTATTGTCAGTTGTGCTCAACTTTGTTCAAGAAACTCTTTACTTATGTGGGTGAACTTAAAAAAAATTAAAAAGCAATATTTTGAAGTAAAAAACCTATTTTGTTTATTTTCATTGACAGAAGTTTGAAAAAATTTGAAATAAAATTTTTACTTAATGCGAAGGACTACACTTTGTACTTCATTGCAAAAAATTTTACTGCAGTATGACAGTGTTGAATTTTTATGACAAAATTGTAATTTTATTATTATTAGAATATTTTCCAAAAATGAAATCTTATATAAAAGAAAACTTCAACTACAGATACAACAACAA